AGGAAAAAAGCAATATGATGGAGGAGATGCTGAAGACATACATAGTCAAATGATGTGCAGATAAGAAGACCCTAGGAATCTCTTTCAATGTAGTTTCCCCACAGTCGCTTTAAAAATATGTGTAGAATAGTACAAATAAGAAAACTGCATAAAACACAGATAAATCATATTCATGAATCATCCTGCCAAATCAGCTGCTATCTACCAGAATTAGCACATCCAAAGTTCTTAAGGGAAAGAATCTCAGCTACCTGAAGCTTCTGCGCCAGGTGTTTTTCACATGCAGTTTCAACATTTATAAACAAAAACAATCTGTTTCTTGTTTTTCCTGTGCTAATCCTTTGAGAATACAACCATTGTTGCTTAAGAAACAGGTACTCAATGATACATTCCACAATGATTACATATTTCTGTTCTGGCCCCAAAAGAAAATATCTGTAAGCGGGTGAGAGGGGTAAGACCCATTGGTTATTGTCACAGCTATTCCCCAATTGACATAACAGGGAAGGATCTGGCAATGGTGCAGCATCAACTGGCAAACCACCTGCTCTACCAACCCTGCATGCCTTTATAGATAGCACATATACCTGAAAGGGCAGCCAAGATCTGGAGATTATACATTCCACTGTAGACATGATGCCTACCAAGTATCCAAATAATTTCAGTGCTCCCATTCAGAGCTCACTGAATCAAAAGGAAATCTTTAATAAACTGACAATGCTGTTCTCACATGAAATGTGGATTTAATCATATTAGCTTGCTATTTTCATAAAAGTCAAAAGGAAAAAAACAATGCATTCTCTTAGAAATATAAATTTAATAAACACACTATTGCTTAGCAAACATAGAAAAAACTAAGTAGGCTATACTGGCAGGATTTTAAGAGCTGTGAAGTAAGTTTTACGTAACATATTTAATTGAACACTGTAGTATCCCACTTCTTCCAATATGTGTTACTATAAACAACATCAAAATGTGTGTCCTATGCTAAAATATTATAACACATGAATATTTTTATTCTTTCATATACAGTATGCTGGAATTTTTAAAAATCCCCAAAAGCACTTTTCGCATAACAATTTTAACTTCAACTTTTAAAGTTATTCTTTGTAGTGCTTTTGAAGAAAAAAAGCAGGCTAAAACTATTTTAAATAAACCTCAAGGCATTTTACTCTATCAGATTGAAATTGAATAAAGGTACTTTTATTATTTATTAAAAACCCTACCATGTTAGAAAAAGTGCCAGCTTGCTTTCTCTGAGACATGGTACTAGATTAATGGAATTTGCATGGGATATTCCTATATCAAAGCAAAACCCAACACTATTGCTTATACCAGTAACCTATAAACATGATTCTAAACCTGCACATACATGCATCTAAGAGACACCTACCTTTATATTAGTTTCAGGCCATGCTTTAAACAACGTTTCTATATGTCCTCGATCATGGAAAGTGATGAAGAGTCCTCTGTAAGGAAACAATTCAAACTTCAAATTATTTTTAAAATATGAAGCCTTTCCTTCCTTCCTTCCCACAATTATATCTTAATTTGATGTACAACTTTCAGTATTAATTTAATATATTGCTTATTGTTTTGTTAGTGATTTGCACTGTATTAATCACATTTAGCTTATAATGCAATGACACAAGTTTTGTTTAGAGAAAGCGTATTAAATATTTTACAATATACCTTGGAAGATACCAGCCTTTTCCACTATTTAACCACCCATATTTACTATCTGTAATTAATCTTCCACACTCCTATATATATTATATTTCTTTTTATTTATAGCCTTTTACTTACAGCCTTCCAAAAATATATTTTGAAAAATAGATGGCACCAATTCATGCTTTCTGTTATACACTTTAGTCCTTTCATTCAAATTAAGCCTTCATTTACCCACAGATATCAATCAACTTCACTCTATAAAATCAGACAAAGATCAGCCACTTTAGATCAGCAATTTACCAGCCATTTAAGATCAGCCACTCAGACTCATGCAGAAGTCATAGTAACAAATAAGATCACCTTCATTTGGATTGATTATATCCTTCCCTCTTTTGTTTCACAGAAACAAGAGCATTTTTAAGTTATTTCATTTCATCTATTAATTCTTGTTCTTTTTCATTTAGTCCTTCTGTATTTCAAGGAAAATCTTCTGTATGCCATGCTGATCACCAAATGAACCTTTGGCTACTCGTGGCTTTGATCAATTAAAGCTTTCATACAATGTATTTAATAAGCTAGAGAAGAAATAGGCTATGCTACTAGCTTTAGTCAATACCAACAAGAAGCACAGTCCACACTTATTTTGAAATGATTCCCACCAGCATAACAACATCCCAATTTACCCAAAGGATGACCATCCTGTTCTAGGCATGCTAAATTCCCTAATCTAGAGACTAGTTTATGTGGAAATCAACTCTTCCCTAAATCCAATCATGAAGGCTTCTGCAGTATAGTAACTTACGGGGTAAGCAGGGAATGATTACAATTGTGAAATGAAGGGATTTTAAAATTTTATCTCAAACCTGATCGTTTAAAAGTCTAAAAAAATAAATACATAAAAAGCACCATTTAACACCATTCTCAAGAATTGCCTACCTACATACTAGTGCTTGGCAATGTATTTGTGAGCTGAACAGGGAACGCCATGAAACACTATTGAAGTGTATTTGTATTTACTGTGGGCGGCTCACAAGAAAGGAGAAGGCAGCAGAGGAGGACGAGAGGGAATAAATTTAACAAATAAAACATAACAAGATGACAGAAACTGGACTGGTATGGAAAAAATAAACACACCCACACAGTGCAAAGAAAGTTTTATTCGCCCTCATTAAAGACCTGAGAAGAGAGCCAAGTCTTTAAGGCCCTTCAAAACAGCAGCAGGGTAGGGGCTATCAGGTTCTCAGGGACAATCTCAGGATCTCAGGGGCCAGTCCAGCAGTGGGATCCTACCTGTTCAGTGATTGCACGTGCACCTAATGTGCACAAGCAGCTTTCCACAACCAGCTGAGGCCTGCAGCACCAATCAGCTGAGAGGGTAAAGAAAAGAAAAGCGCAGGGATGAGTGAGAAGGCCTAATCCTCTCAACTGGTCATCGGAGGCTTTTTTTACTACCGGTTCAGCCGAACAGGGCCGACTTGATAGTATACCACCACTGGGCCAGTTACTACTACAAGAAGATGTGCTTCCAGGGAACGAACAGATAGCATCATTTAACTAAAGAAACCCAAAATGTGCCAATTATGCCAGATCAAACTGGACAGGAAGATACTATGGGACTGAGGTGGAACCTCAATTAACCAGGTTCAAATCAGTTAGACTCCATCCTGATTTAATGAACATGAATTCTAGAAAAATTGTTTTCCAACATTATAAACTAAGATTAGAAAGCATGGAAAATTCAACAAACCTTATACATATGTACACAGAGGCAGTTGGGAGCATTTTGTGAGTGTGGAAAATGATGATTGGTCTAATGGCTCAAAAAAAGCTGTGGCCTAAGTACAGTCACATATTCCAAAGCAGCTCTTTCAAAAAAAAAAATTTGAACAGCTTTAGTTATAATTTAGTCTTTAGTCTTTACATCAGCTTGAATTTGCTGGCCCTATAATAGGATCAACTGCAGAGAGGAAGATGCAAACTAATATTAGAACCATGCAAGTCAGAAACAGAATCTCCAAACCAAATTTGGCTATCTTTGGGCACTGATGACATATTTAATATAGTTAATACGTATAGTCCCATGGTATCCTATTAAGCAGTTTTCTATAACAGCTTAAAAGTCATAGGACTAAAGATATGTCATCCCTAAATTGTTATAACATGAGGTATTTGCAATATGGTTTTTTGGAAAATTCCTTACATTTTCTTAAGGATTAAAGATCAAGCTTGTTGTGACTTTTGGATATTTAACTAAATTACTAACATTAAATTATTAAACTTGTCATTTTTAAAAGATGTTGCAAAATACACATACAATCTAGGTCGCCCTATCCTGCTTGTGGTTCTTTGTTCAAGAAAAGCTGAATGTAAAATAAATCCTTATAGTAATAGATACTCTATTTTATGAGGAAAAGGTTAAAATAACATGGCTCATTTATCCTGGGAAGAGACTCTAAAGTTAGCTATATTGTGCAATTCACAGAGGGATTAAAATACTTCAGTCAGGATATTCCATGGATGTTTCATGGAAAAAATATTAATTTGGATACCAACATTAAAAAATGTACCGTTTTAAAATAATTCCTTAAAAATGGCTACAAGGAGTTAGTTCCTGATTGAAAAATAGTATTCAATTTTTACATTCAGAAGATGGAAGATTCAATTTCAAATATATTCAAACAACACTTGAACTAGTAGTATCAAATTATTTCTTGCTTCTATGTTAAGACTGTTCTATTGGAAGAATTTATTATTATTATTATTCAGCATATAATGAGAACATGACAGAAGAGAAGTAAACATATATATATCTATGTATAACTAGAAGAAATAAAAAGTTGTTATTCTGACCTCCAAATTAACCATCAGTTATAGCAGCTCTTAAGAAATAATTCCACAAGATTTCTGGAAAATTGTGCGGTATATACATCAAATCTCCACATCTGCTACTAAGAAATAATCTGAACCAGAAAAGCCTGTTTCCTACATTGCTTAACATCTACAGTAGATGAAACCATTGGGTGTGGTCATTCATTGATTCGGAGTGATGTGTCATCAATATGAAAATGATACCCAGTTATATCTCTCTGTCCCTAACCAGGCAGAGGATGTAGTGGAATTTCTGACATGGTGCCTGAAGACTTTTAAATTCTGCGTGGGACTGAACTCTAACCAAATGAAAATGGCTGTGGAGTCAAAAACTTGAAATTAATTCATTTATAGTTCCGGATGAATTCTTCCTACTCTGAACAAATCTGGCTTACCGGGCGGGCGTGGGGGAGGGAGGGCTCTTTCATAGCTCCTACTTGAAATGTAAATGGAGGTTATGTTGAGGAGAGCCTTTGCACAGCTACATGTGGTGTGCCAAACATAGCCACATTCCTGGATTAGTAGATCTGTGCATGCTTATTCATGACAGTGTCAGTAGTCATGGTGGGACATCTGCAATTTGCTATACATGATGCTTGCTAGAAGACCATCTCAAGAAGTTTCAGATGGTCCAGCATGCAGCAGTCCTGGTAGGTTCCAGATACAGGTAGTCCTCGACCACAATTGAGCCCAAAATTTGTTTCTAAATGACAGGCTGTTAAGTGAATTTTGCCCCATTTCTCACTACTGTTGTTAAATTAGTAACACAGTTGTTAAGTGAATCTGGCTTCCCTGTTGACTTCGCTTGTCAGAAGGTCAGTAAAGGTGATGGCATGATCCCAGGAGACACCAACCATAATAAATATGAACAAGTTGCCAAGCATCTGAATTTGGATCACGTGACCATGGGGATGGTGCAACGGTCATAAGGGTACAAAACAGTCGTAAGACACTTTTTTTAGTGCCATATTAGCTTCAAATGGTCACTACATGAGCTGTTGTAAGTTGAAGACCACCTGTGCTTTATCTTTGGGACATTACCCTGCTGGTCTGATGCTGGATGCAATTCACAATGTTGGCTGTCACCTTTAAAGCCTCCATGGGTCAGGGCCTGAATACCTATAAGTCCGCATCTCATTTGTTGCATCTATATCTAGCAAATGAGTTAGTCTTGAGTCTGTTTCAAATGTTAATCATTCTGTTTTATTTTGCGGTATCCTTCAGTGTTTGGCAGACTCCATTTATATACAGGATAAAATAATTAAAATATGAATTCCTGTTGACAGATAACATGAATGCTAGTTGGGATCATGTGGAGATTATGGAAACCACAAGAAGCATGAGATTAAAGGGCTCCATTGGATCACAATAGATCAGGTAAGTTAGCTAATGGAGGAGACTTTTGTCTTCCAGGAACTCTGAAGAAAAGGGTTAAGGCTATTTAGAGAAGATGCAGGAACTAGTGCTGACAAGATTTGGAGACTGGCCCAAAGTACTATGCCCTTTGTGTGACTGCAGAGGTTTATTGGAAATCTTCCAAGCAACCAGAACCTGGGCAATTCCTGGCATGGAAGGTTTGAAAATGTGCTGACATCTGAATTTAAGACTCAAAGCTAAGGATGTTTCTCGAAGGCTAAAGAAGGAGAGTCAAAGTTTATTCAGATGAATAAAGAGGGAACAGAACAGGAGCTAAATTCAGAAGAACAATATTTCATCAAGGTGAATTGCAATGCAATAAGGAGCAATGATGCCCTCAAACTTATCATTAGATGACGAGGCATAGGAAAAAAACAATCTGGGCTTTTCCATCTGCCAGAGGTCAAGAACCATTGAATGTTTAGTAGTAATGGTCTGACATTTCATAGCTGCCTTGAACATCTGATAATTTTTAAAAATACATACAAATTAAAAAGTAGTTTTACACTATAGA